TACCTCTCACACACACACTCGCCTGTCCACACATCCACTGTATGAAAAAAAAACAGCGTCACTAAAGACCCCTCCCGGCCACAGGAAAAAACAGCTCTACCAAGAACCCCTCCAGCGACAGGTTGGAACAGCTTAATAGACCTCCTGCGGCGACAGGAAAAACAGCTCCAACAAAGAACTCCGACAGCAAAAAACAGCTCTACCAAGGACCCCTCCAGCGACAGGAAAAAGTAGCTTCATCAAGGACCCTCTCCGGCGAAAAAAACAGCATCAGCAAGGAGCCTCTCGGCGACAGGAAAAAACAGCTTCATCAAGGACCCCTCCGGTGACAGGAAAAAAAACAGCTTTCATTTTGGGGAGGATTTGCTTTGCGCACTAAAACTCCATCCTCTAGTCAGACTATCCATCCTCATTAATTAAAAATTCCTAATTTGTTAATATCTTATTAAAAAATCATATTATAAGGTGTACTTACCTTGGCAAGGGTTTTAACATTATTTTCAGCTGCAGAAGACACAGACCGTTCTGGAATGCGAATGAAGATTTCAATTTTTTGTAATTTCTGAGGTTCAATTCGATATCTGTTCGTATGGTCCCGAGATTAAATATATAGCTCAAATTGATGACGAATTTCAGGTGTAAAGGGCTCGATAGGTAAAGATTGTTGATACCAGTTTAGGTAAATAAGATAGGATTGGCGTTGTATACTATAGAGAAGTGTACGGAACAGAACACGATATATGTAGAATACATTCAAAATACCAACAGCATGGAAAAATATCAAGTTTAAATACTTGAGTAAATAAACAAAAAAAAAAAAATAAACAAATGATTTAGACAATTACAATTTCGAATCTTCTAGTATTTTAACAGCCACCAACATACCAACATTCTGTTGTAGTTCTGTGCGTAGAACAAAAGGGTCAATGCGTTGTACTAGTGTATGATCACGAACCAGCGTTCCATTGAGTAGGGCCAGTGGTGACTGAATCACTGTTACGAATGGCCCGGATATATGTAAAAGCCTAACCTCCCCACATAGTATATAGAAGACACATAGCCAAACCTAATTAGTTCCAGCTTTCAATCGGATAAGAACTCATAGTGTGGCATTGCCTTTGAACTCGTTAGGTTTTATGTTATCGCAAGATGTAAGGTTGATACTTGCTCAAAGTGGATGCTTGGCATTTGCAAGGGTTTGTGGATTACCCTATATGGCAGTCTCGAACCACTACAATGGCTAGTCTGGTTGCCATGACCCCCGACTGGAACACATTCCAGAGTGGTCCACTCGCAAACACGTTTTTCTTTTTTTCAGAAACATCATCAATGAATGGTTGAAACTCGGAACTCAACAGCAAAGGGTGTCAACATGCATGATAGCTTTGCCATTCTAGTGGCCATGAGAAACTAGAACAGAAGCACAAAGCTCTGGCAGAGCGGAATCTAGCGTTTGTTTAGTCTCATACTAAGACCCTGTTTGTTGAAGATGTTGCACTCTTGCATCAGATGACAAAGTAATCTTTGAAAATGTCCCTGCATATATACTGGTATAAAATCCTCCTTCTCAACAAGTGTAGCAGCAACTTGCTCAAGGCTCTCTGTGATATCCATATGATTTAAAGCAACCTAACAGGAGTCAATCAACTACTGTAAAAAGAAAAAGACATAATATTGAATATTCCAATGTAACAAACCTGCAATACTCCTCTCACACCTGCTCAAAAAAGGGCTGTGACTCCGGATTATGCTGTATTGCTGTGTCCACAATCTGTGCTAGTCTCGTAGTGCGCCAAGCCCCTTACTGTTAGAACATACAGCCTGAATCTGGTTACATATTTGCCGATTTCCCTGTCTAGTCCTTTTTCGGTATGTTTGTTTTATTCCTTCGGAATAGTCTGGTTGGCACGACCCCCGATTCGGAAATGTTTCTCCTCGGAATGCCTTGTGCTGTTTGCTCCAATATTCAATGTTCACATGACACCTTGATTTTTGTCTATATAAGAACTTTCTGTATCTACTTCGATTAAGTAGGCAGTTCAATATCCTCACCCATGAGCACCTCATAGTCTCGTAACCTTGCTCAGGTTATGAGACTGGAGACCAAATTTGCTCCATTCCAGTCAGGAATATACAGTATATTAAATAGGGAAAAACTTGATTCTCTTCCGTTAATATTAATAGTCAGACAGACAGTTCCAGCATAAGTACTCCGGAGTACTTTACTACCACCAGCTGTTATCCCTCCCTCTCCAACTTTGTAGATAATCTACAGACGAAGACCAAGCTTACCTATGATGACGCTACAGCCTCTCTGCTCTCTTTAAGATCCTTGAGCAATGATGCAGCTAAGACTCTAATCTCTCGCCAGCAACAAAATCGAGTCCAGAAGGCAAAAAGGTCCAACTCTCAACGGCCGAATCCTCCGGCTCCTGGAAAAACTCTACCCCCTGCAAAGGTGAATGCTCTTTGTGTAAGAGCAGAGGCCTGCCTTACTCTAGACATGTCTTCACTCGTTGTAACGCACTCAAGGATCATAAGCGATAGACGACCACAGGAACTGCAGCTATAGCCATCGATGCTTTTACACCTCCCTCCGAAGGTGTTACTCTGGTCGCCTCTTCGTCTGATTTAGGATTCGCTGTTATGGCTATTGACTCGGACTCGGTCGCATCACTCTCTCAGCATATTATGCTTGATACTTTTCTCGGTCTTACCTTTTGCCTCATCTATTTCTGCAAATCCTACCTCCTCCTCTGTTGCCTCAACTTGTTCTGCCCTAGCTTTAGCATTAGAAGCTAACAATATAGATACATACCAGGTATGGATATTTGATACTACCACCTCTTATCACATCACAGCTCACTTTTTTTGCTTCACCAATCTAGTCTCTTGTTGAGTAGGGATAGCAATTGGTGGTGGTAAAGTATTCTGGAGTACTTATGCAGGAACTGCCTATCTGGCTATTGATATAGATGGAAGAGAATCAAGTTTTCCCTTCTTTAATGTATCGTATATTCCTGACTGGAATGAAGCAACTTTTGTCTCCAGGCTCATAACCTGAGCTAGGTTGCGAGTCTACGAGGTGCTGGTGAGTGAGAAGGTTGAATTGCCTATATAAGAATCTCCTGTATCTACTTCGATTAAATATAAATTCAATATCCCCACTCACCAGCGCCTCGTAGACTCGTAATCTCGCTCACATACTTGTCAAACATTTTCAGTATATCTTGCAACCGCCGCACTGCTGCAGACTTGCTATTCTGCTTACTGTCAATGGTAGTCTGTAAGTCACCTATGGTCAACTGAACAATCTTGCTTGCTCTTTGACATGCATGCTTGCTTAGCTTGAGAGGTTGTAATCTGTTTCCTGATAATTTTTTCCAAGCTAACTGGGGCGACCTTTGCCACAGTGATGGGAGATTTTTTGGAGCTGCAGCTCCAGAAATTGGGCCACCTCCGGAAGGTGCTGGGGTTGCTGGTGCTGCAGCAGGTACAGTTGGAGTGGGAGAGGCTGACGTTTTAGAAATCCACCAAAGGGGGGATCTAGATCTTTGTCGCTGGTTTATTGTCCGAAGGCTCGGGGGATAAGGCTTGCTGTTCGGTCGAATCCGATTTCTGTGACCGAAATGATAGCGCCCAATCTGTAAGATTCTTTGAAAACGGATTCTTGAGCCTGTTGTTCACTCATGCTGATTGTTTCTGCTCTTGTTGATTTGTGATTGAAGGAGCTGTTTTTGATAGTGACGACAGCTGTTGCCAATATAATACTCAAAGAATAGCTTACTGTACATAACGTGCTTTTGCAGACCATGGTACCAATGGAAGTGAACGCTTTGGTAGTGCTTGGGCATGGTTGATTTGTATGATAACAATATAGGTATTTAATTATGGTACGAGAATCTTGCAGTATTTTTGTTTTTTGCAATTGTATTACACTTCACAAATTTAACTAGATGGATTGATATTATTGCAATGGATTCAATCGTAGAAATATCGTGACAAGCCAGCCATTTCAGAATACAGAAATTACGCCCTGAACTCATCTTCACATGGGTTGCAAAGAGGAGGCAATAAGCAGCAGGGGTAGGATGGACCTCTCGACAACTTCAGTATAGTAGAACAGGCTTATTGACAAGCTGATTGATAAAATTTAGGTATGATAGCTCTAGGAACAAACAGAATGGGCTGATTGATGAACTAATTTACAAGTATGACAGAAACTTCGAGGGCGTTGTATATGGCAGGTCCCTCGCAACAGTACTGCTGCAGTATATAGTAGAACTGACTCAACTTACAGTTATGAGAGGCACCTCACAACGGCAAAGCATATGGCAGAACAGGAGCTCAATTGGCATGTATGATAGAACTTTTCTCAATGGCGAAGAATATAGCAATGCTGGCTCAATTGACAAGTATAGCCAGTCTCTCTTGAAGGTGCAGCATGGCAAACAGGGCTAGCATTGGTTGATGTCACGGAGTTACGGGTATCGTGGATACATCGGGTTCAGTACGGAGGGTGAGCTCACGCTACGTAATGCTCGTGAATTTTTTTTTTTTTCTTCCCTGATTTTTGCAACGTTCTAAATCTATACCCTACCATTTTTTCATTATCAAGCCATGACTGGCTTATTATTGTAAGGTTTTAGAATCCGTGATAAGAGCTCAGGTGCCAAGGTAAGAAAAGGGAAACAGATTAGTGGGTTAGTCTGGTATCAGCGGGTAGGCAGTGCCGACGACGGCTACTGTGAGCGGTATAACGGAACTAACAGCTTTGCACAACAGGACCTCCGCTGGGAAGCCGAGAGGAGGAATAATTCTCTGTTGCCGAACAGTTGGGAAGAATAAATCATGTGTGTAGGTGAGTAAAGAGAATAGTTGAAGAACATTGATGAAGGAGAGGCGTATTTCCAGCGATTAAAAGTGATCAACTAACTGGTTGCTAACTCATTGCTATGGAGTCCAAGAAAATGGTGGGCTCACTGGTTAGGAACAAATCAGGTCGCGTGGCTCAATAGGTAGAGCATCGCTCTAATAAGGCGAGGGTTGTGAGTTCAAGTCTCACCGTGACCATTACTCCTTCAGGGAGTACCGCCTTTTTTTCTTAGCTGTCCTTCCCTTCATTACCCACCGATGACACAAATTAACCAAACAGTTCCCAATATATCAAATCCTCCCCTCCTGTAATGATATTCCCTACCCCCAAGCACTTTCTCAACCTTCAGCAGCTTCCAGTCCACTTTCTACGTCTCTTCTATCCCTAGGAAAGTCGAGACAGGACTTCAATAAAGCTCGATGCAGCGTATCAATGTTATCCCTCACTGTTCAGAATGCGCATTGGTGTCTCGTGCCTCTGTGAGAGATCTAGTAGAAATCAACACTCTGTGAACGTGGATGGAGAAGCGTCCTTGAGGGCTAATATATAACTGTACTGTAACACCTAAGGGATCCGAGAACAGCATAGGTGGTGGTGGATACCTAGGCTTATTTACATCAATTCCTCTCACAAATTCAACCAGGACGAGACAAATTGGTCCAACAAAGAAGATCATGCCCAGTGGACCATGATTATCTAAGAAGGATGTTGAAAAGGGGCTGGTGATTGCCATTGGACTTCTTGTCAGATGTGAGGCAGAACAGGCTTGCCTCCAGCTTATGTAGGTATTCTACGGGATGCCAGGTTGAGTCAGGCAATGTGCACGCCCAATCATCCATCACTTATCTCCGCGCACCGCTTGTAGAGTATATCAACATTCCTAACTGGACCGCACTGCTAGCAAAGAATATTGCGTTGACACCTATCTCCATAGTAGTAGATAAAGTGTAGAGGGAAAAACGAACGTACTTCTTCAACTCCTAGATGCTGCAGTGGGGCGCTGCCTTTCTGTTAATACTGTATGTACCCCTACATAGCATAAGCGGTCCGATACTCATAAGGTGACATTGTACAAAGTTATGGAACCAGCGCAAACTGAAGCGAAAGACTGCAGGTTCATAAGCTATATTTAAGAATTGAGCACTCAAGAGCCAAATGTAAAACTGATTGGTTATAGAAATTGGCACGTTGCCCCTTGAAATTACCCTCAAAGTGACTGCCCACTTACTCTATTGTTGACCTTATCTTATCAGTTCATCTCTACCATCCAAATCGGACCTCGAATTAAAGTTTAGTTAAAGTCGAAAAGCTTATTTCCACGCTCCATACGCAAAAACGTGTTGCGTGCGCGTCGCGTTGCATGAAACACGTCATCCCAAGACAAAACCCCACCGGTACACCCCAACACACCACAACACCCATGCAAAAGGCTATCGCAAACACACATACACACACGCATAAATGACTAAACAGAATCTATAGCCATCCTGTAACCAATTCGTGACCTCTCATGCCCACCCCTCCGGCTCCCAACCCTTCCTTCTCCGCCCCCTCTCCCTTATCATCCCCTCCACCTTTCCTTTGCCTCTGCCCACCTCGCCCTTCAGTGACTCTACGCTCTGCACATTACACGGTGCACTTGCACCAGCTGCTCCACTCTACGCGCCCCGGAAGCGCCCCGGAAGCGCCCCGGAAGCGCGGCCACAAGCCCCACAAGCCTTCTCTCCCTGCCGCAACTCTGGAAAAATGCTACCTCACCACCGATACACCCACCCCATTCTTCTTCATCCATCACCGTCATCGTCCACTCCCTCCCACCACCACCACCTCACACCCATCTAAACGTTCCCGCACTTGCCACTCCCACCACCTGCCCCTGCCACCCCCACAAAAGAACCACCCCACACGAAAACCAAAACCCAGAAATATGCTTACTGCCTCTGGGGCCTTCGACATTGACCAGCTGTATGTGGTGTGTGCGAGAGCAAAGATGCGTGCGAAGTCGGGGGAGGTGACGACGGTGGCGGAAGAAGGAAGGAGGTGGTTGGGCAGGAATTTAAGGGTAGGAAAGATGGGATAAACGAGAGGAAAAAGGGGGTGGAGGTTTGTTTAGTGTTGGAATGGAAAATATCTATCGTCAATTACTTCAGAATGAATGAATTAATAATTATCTCATGTATGTATGTACATATGTAGTAAGTATGTATGTAAATATAAGTGGATACATCCATACTTGTACATAGCCCTGAGGGAACGAGCTACCCAGAAAAAAACATTATGTACATAATATGAACATCTACCGTTAAGTTTACATGATACAGTTTAGAGTTACAACACTGTACCCTTTCTATGCACAAACACAACAAAGAAACAATAGAAAAAAGAAAAACCAAAGACACAAACGCCCTGTCCCGAATTATGTAATCCCATGCAAATATCAAGCAATTCCTCCTCCTTCCCTATTCCCTTTCACCATGACACCATACTCTACTTCTCCCTCCCCTCCACCTTCACCCCGACTTTCCCTTCTCCTCCCTCCACCCTCCTTACCTCCCTCTCCAACTCTCTCACGCGCCACTTCAACCGCTCAATCTCCACCAACGCTTCCGCCACCACACCCAACGACCCCCCTCCAAAACCACCCCCTCCTTCTCTCCTCGGACAAAACACTCCAAGTAGCCGCTCCACTACATCCCCTAGCACCTGAGGCGGCAGAATCTCGCACCGAATTCGGTCTCGCTGCACAATAACAGGTGTTAGCGTAACTTCTCCCACATTCAAAATCACACAAGAGGAGTACGAAAGGGTAATCTCACAAACGCAAACGCTGCACTCCGGAACGTATGTTGATACACGTATTTGTACTCCCCTTCTTGCCCACCTTCCCCCTTTCTCCCCATTCCACCATCCTCTCCACCCCCCCCACCCCCCTTCTCCTTCTCCCTCTTCAAGCCAAACAACTTCATCCCACTCATCACCATCCTCGATAATGCATCCTTATTCCTCGCCTCGATCCCTTCCTCGCTCCCACCGCCACCACCACCTGCGCCTGTACCATCCACATCCACTATCTGCGCATCCGCTGGACTCCCAGGTCCCGCCTTAGGCTCTCTCTTCACATTAACATTGGTAAGGGATATCGACGCACGGGGGACGGGCCTCGATCCCCTCCGCAGCAACAGTAGCGCAAGTGAAAGACATGGAAAACGAATTCGATGTCGATCCAGGCTCCCTCTTTATCGGCACTCCTGACACCGCCGAAGACGTCCCTGGTCTCGACCGCACTGATGGCATTGGAGACTTCCTCCGTCCTGGCTCTTCACGCATAGAGGAAAACCCAGTCCCCTCACGCTTGAACGATTGCGCGACTGAAGCCTCCCTGTCCCTTTCCCTGTCCTTTTCCTGCCCCATCGCTGACTGTCTCCTCACCATTTGCAGTGCCGTCTGTTGGGGTGGTGGTGGAGGTGGCGGCGGAGCTGGTAGTAATCACCCCTTTTTCCGATTCTCTACTGCCCGCGACAAATCTTCTACCCGGCGCTTTTTCACGGACTTCGAGATCTGCGGAGAGTCCAGGGGGTTCGGGAGGAGGAAGGAAGGAGCGAGGACGGGCAGGCAATGGGTGGTTGAGTTTGGAGGCGGGGGTGGGGTCAAAGGTAGAGCGGGTAGCTGTGGCGTGGGAGCGGAATCTAGTGTAGGTTTGGAGTTGGAGGAAGTTGTGGGATTCGGATTGGCATCCGGAGAGGGCTAGCGGATCTCGGTGGGGCCGGCAAGGCGGTGGAGAACCCGTGATGAGACGTCAAAGGCAGAGCGTGTATTGTAATTGTAGAGATGACTGTCATGGGGAGTTGTGTGGGGTGCGGAAGTTGCGGTAGCGGAGGAGGGTCGGATACAGCAGCGGCTGTAGTTGTAGCTGTCGCGGCAGACCCCACCGGGTCCCGTGGCCTGTCACCAGCGGTATCACCGGCCTGAGCCTCCTCGACCTGCCCTCCTCGAGCCCGCGGCAGCCCCGCCCCCCCTTCCGCCGGGCTGGACCCTGGCGGCGTCTCTGGCATCGCAACAGCCTTCCTTTCCACAGCCCCGTACAGCACCAGTTCTGTAACAGCCCAATCGCTCGCTCCACTACTTGCCCCCATCTCCGCCCCACCGCTCCCGCCATCCGTCTTCTCCCCCCTCTTGTGTTCCCCCCTAGCCTCACCAACACCCCGACCCCGCACTGTCCCTGGCCCTCCACTTCCCCCCCCTCGGAATCCTCCTGCCCTCCTCCCACCGCCCCAACTGCCCCCGCCTCGCAAAACACTTCCTTAAACCACCTCTCCGTCAATTCGCCCCCCGTATCACATTCAGCGACGGACCCGCACCCGCAGCCATCCATAGCGGTATCTTTGTCGGGCCGATGAAACCAAGCACGGAGAGCTTTGAGTGCCGCGGAAGAAGGGTGCTAGGAATGTGTGTGTGGGTGTGGTGAGGCACAGAGATGGAGATGGAGATGCTGGTTGTTGGTGAAGAGGAGATCATGCAGGACTGCGGAAGTGAGATACGGCCAGACCAGAGAGGCATCATGATGCAGCGACTGTTTCAACCCTTTAATCCTTCAGCCTCTAAAAGTTTTTGTTTATAATTTCCTGCGAGGGGAGTCGAGGGGATTCGAGAGGAGGAAGGGAGAGGGTTGTTGATATGCAATTGTGGTTTTTGACTTCGGTTCCGAACCCCCTCCCTTCTTGCGCCTCTCCGGAATTTTTCTCGAATTCAATTCTGACCAAAATTTCCTCCGCATTTCGATTCGGTCCGCTCGACCAGATCTTGCGTGCGGATGTTTCGTGACTGTAAAAACTCCCTTCAGCTGCTGCTGCTTAACTCAGGTACCATAAAGTGAAGCGTCGCAATTAAAAAGAACTCACGAGTCCCATAAACAAAAAAAAAATATATATAACCTCAAGTCGAGTTACCGTACACTTCTGGCGCTGACGTATCCTAGCCAGTTGTTGCAATGGTCCCACAGAACGTCGAGTTTGTTTGGTTATAGCGTTTTGGGGACGACGCGAACGGTGCTTTTGGTGAGCTTGAATTAAAGTGTGTCACGTGGGCGACCGGGGTCTGGTCGCATTTGGCTCAAAGACAAAATCGGTACATAGGCTGTGCTATGTGGAATTGCTGAGTAGGTAAAATAAAAAGAGTGGGTTACCCCATGAGACTAGGT